TTGCGTTGGCTTGCAGATCATATCGCACTCGTATGGCGGCTTTTTCCTGGCGGACAACGCCTTCCAATCCTTGGGCGATGTAGTCGAGTTCTACTGTAACCATTTTTTGTGCGACAACCTACGCCTCACCACTCCGCTGCGCCCGGAAACACCCGTTCAAGCTCAAAATGCCCGCAAGGTCGTGATGGCTACTGCCGACTACCAAGCCATGACTCCAGATGAACTCAGCTTTTTGAACGGCGACAAAATGACCGTCGTCAATGATGAAGATCACCACTGGCTCTGGTGTGTTCGCTCCGGCGTTCAGCAGGCTGGGTTTGTGCCGCGCTCCCTCGTGGTTGCGTGTGGGGTCGAGGAGTCGGAGCGCGAGGCTGCCGCCAACTGCCAGCTTCCGCCCCAGTTCCAGCGCTCCCGATGGCTGCACGGCCGCATCTCGCGCGAAGAGACGATCGACTACCTCCAGGGCCAGCCCGTCGGTTCCTTCCTCATTCGAGAGAGCAGCAATCCGTACAGCCTCAGTATCAAGCTGGGCCCGGATAAAATCAAGCACATGCGCATCGAGGCCTCTGACCAGTCCCGCTACACCTGCGGTGAGCGACACTTTGACTGCCTCGAGGCGATTGTGCTCCGCTACATTAACACCCCAATCATGGACGACATTGAGTTACGCTACGCGGTGCCTCCGCAGGCGCTCGACGCTGACATGGATGGTGATCTCTACAGCGATGTGCAATACAGTCGCGTGGGTGCTGGTAACACTGCTCCGGCACCGACGACGGCTCCGCCCAAGCCCGTCTCTGCCCTGGACGCTGGCCGCTTGCAGGGCCGTTCCCTCCCCGGAGGTTACGAGAAAATGGGTGAGATCACCCGCAAGGTGAAGCGAAGCAAAAAGTGGAAAACCATGTACTTTGCCCTCCAGTCAGCCAAGAGCCGTCTCTTCTGCTTTGAGACGAAGGACGCCATCAAGCCCAAGGGCATTATCGATCTGCGCAGCAGCTATCTCACCACCGTCGATGATAGCCTCTTCGGGCGTCCCAATTGCTTTCAGATCGTGGTCAACGGGTCGGAGGTGCATCTTTGCACCGACACTCCACAAGAGCGCGACAGCTGGCTTGAAGCCCTCTATGAACACTGCGCCGAGTGTGGTGTTGGCCGTCCCATGGTTGACCCCACCACCAAGCACACCATTGCCACCCTCAGCGTCAAGATCATGGATACCAAGGATCTGCCCGTCAAGTCAGGGTCTGTCGTTTTTGTAGCCTCACTCAATGGCAGCAAGCACGCTCGGACCCGTGCCAAGCCCGTCAAGGACAATGCCGCCTTTTTTGATGAAGGTTTTGAGGTGAACAACATTTCCACTGTTGTCCAGGACCTTCGCTTGGAGCTAGTGCCCACGGGCCTCCGCAAGGGTACAATTGGTGCCCTCTCCATCGTACTCAGCTCTCTCCGTGGCACACCGCCGGTGCGTGATGATAGTTGTGGGTCGGGCGCTATTGCCTCGTACTCCGTATGCGTCCGTATATACTGGCCAATGCTCACGTATTGCTTGCATACTCTAGCGAGAAGAATGGTACACATTGTCTTCTGATGGCAAACCAGCAGGTCGCGTGCGCGTCAAACTCAGTCTGGCAGATGAGGTGGGCTGTCTGCAACCTGCTGACGTTTTCCTTTTTACCTTTTTACTCTTTTTTTCTTTTTTTTTTTTTTTCTCCTCCCCTAGCGTTCACTTGTTTTGATAGCGTGCATTCGCTTTGATCGCCCCATCCCCCCGCATTGCTCACGGCCACCCCTTGGGTTTCCTTTGCTGTCGTGCATGCGCCAGGTCATCTTGCCAGTCAAGGCGTATGAGCCTCTCAAGCTGGAGCTGGAGCGCAAGGATATGGTGCTGCAATCGGCATTGGCAGAGCATTTACGAGCATCGCTCAATGCCTTTGCAAACCATCTCATTCGCATTTGGATCAATGATGGTCGGGACGAGGAGCTGATTGGCTACCTCATGGCGCACCACATGCAAACGGAGGAGTCACCAGGCACCCTCTTCCGTGGCAACACACTTGTAACCAAGGTTATGGATCAGTACATGAAGTTTATTGCCATCGATTATTTGCAGGATACGGTGGAGCACTGCATTGTGGATATTTGCGATGAGAAGCGCTCATTTGAAATGGACGATTCGCGTGGCGGGCGCCCAGCCGAGAGTGCCCGCATTCTCAAGACTCATTGTCAAAACATTTGCAACTCCATCTTTGCATCCGTTGATCGGTGTCCACCACCGCTCCGCCGAGTCTTTGGCGTGTTGCAACAACAGGCCAAGAAGCGCTTTCCAGGAGATGCTCATGTCCAATACACATCAGTGAGCGCCTTCCTCTTTCTGCGGCTTTTTTGCCCCGCGATCATCAACCCCAAGCTGTTCAATATGATGTCTGAGCATCCTACGGACACGCTGGCACGCAACTTGACGCTTGTGGCCAAGGTCATTCAGAACCTTGCCAACATGGCGGAGTTTGGTCAGAAGGAGGCCTTCATGCAGCCAATGAACGAGTTTATCATGCTCAATCGTGGTAAAATGCAAACCTTCCTCAACAGCGTCTCCTCCAGCACCCGAGGCGAACATGAGGTGAAAGTGGCTTCAGCCTCGCGTGACTTGGCTGCTGTGGCGCGGATGTGCAGCCAAACCGACAAACTCGAGACCGTCTTGGACTCTTACAAGGTTAGTTTTGCTTTGGGGACCGGGCCTGCTCGTCACGGGTTGACCTCTCATTGGCTGCCCCTTATTTTTATCAGGTGCAATCGCCGCTCGTGAGCATCATCCGAGCTTTAGAAAGCAAGAACAATGCGTAGTCCTGACCCCCCTCTTTTGTTTTCATTCTGTTCCATACACTTGCTGCTTGTTTCTCCTTCTTTCTTGTTGAATGAAAAATTCAAGCTGCCCGCCAGTCCATGTGAGGGGATCTTGTCCCGCTTTTCTGATTGGCGTGCTGGGGCCAAACCTTGAGGTCGGGGAACAACTACAAGACTTGCACAAAATAAAACTTAGTTCAAAATGATGCAGAATACTTGATTTTTCGAGGCGCTTGTACCCGATCATGAGGCTTGCCCTATCAAAACCCCATCGCCCAGGAACAGATTCCAAGAATGGGAACGGAAATTGACTCTGGCTCCATGCTTCACTCGTAGCAGAGGTTGATGTGGGCAAAGGTGATGCGCTCCGCATAGCTTTGCTCACCTCGCTCATAGGCCACACCAAGCGCTATAGCATTGCAGGTGGGAAGGGAACCAAGGAAGGGTCATGAGATACAGTTTCCCAATAGAAAAGCGGGGCCAAGGTCACGCCCACGTACTGCATTTGCTATTAGGGTGGTTGGTCGCCACGCTGTAACCTGAGGGGCCGGGCCAGAGGGTGACCTCGTGGGACCAGGTGTTGCCGCCATCCATGGAGGACTGAACGGACATGTTAATGCGCTGGTCACGGCTGTTTGGGTTGGTAAAGTATAGCGTGTCATTAGCGGCCACCAAGCCCGCGGAACAAACAGGCTCGATAAGGTCAGGGATGTACGTCAAAGGGCCCCAGGTCAGGCCGCCGTCATGGCTCACGCTCTGCGCGCGGCAGTCGCAGCTTGAATTTAGGTGGCTGTTGCGAAAGTTGATCAGCAAAGTGCCATCGGCCAATTCGGCCACTTGACACTCTTGCATCTCGGGAAACACGGCACTGACAACGTAGGATGCCCCTTGATCATCCGAGAACCAGACGACACCGTTGGCAGAGTGGCCCGCGTGGTAACCCGAAGCACCGCACATGATAATGCGGCCTGGGTGCGTGTGCGCAAGGGTGATGCCCAAGCCTGGCCCGGCCAAAGTTCCATTCCACGCACTCAAATTGACCTGAAAAATCCACAAAGAGACGACACATAAGACAGACATGTGCGCACAGAGAAAGGCGGTGCGGGGGAAGCGGTGGGGGATCGCAGAACATGGCCCTTGATAGCAACGGATTTGACTGAGCACGGGACAAGACAGAGCGGTCAAATCAACAGAGAAATCAGTTGTTTCCAAGCGGACGCACTGGTTGAGCGGAAGACCAGGTGAGGCCAGCGTCGCGTGATTCCATTTGAAAGGTGGTCCAAGGTTCATCCAGAGTAGAATTGACAAACTGAAGCAACACGAGGTCAGGTGTAGCGGTGGTGCTGGAGCCCGGAACCACCGTCAAGTAAGGGTTGCGGTAGGTCGTATTCCCAGTCAGACTGCCCACGAGCATGACTGGCTCGGACCACGTGAAGCCCCCATCTTGGCTTCGCACGAGTTCAATATCCTTGGGGGCTTGATCGCCACAGGTTGTGCGACGGCTTTCGACAGCCATCAAGACAGTATTGTTGGGCAGCGTTACGGCAGTTGGCACACGATAACACGCATGGCCCCGCGTTCCGCCGATGAACACATCAACTTGGCTACCATGATGTCAGTGGATGTGAGAATGACGCGTGCGAGCCATCAGCGCGCTGCTTGCACAACCAGGGAAACGTACTCAACCTGAATCGCCGCATCTGCCACTGACAGGCAGCCCAAAACCAGGCCCAGCGCGAGCAATTTCATGCTGACTGTGTGTCAGTCAATGATCCCCCCGGCACCAGCCACGAGCCGAAAGCAGAGAAGAAAGCGGAGGCTGATGGATGATGACCTCGAGACGGCCGAGGAAGGTCAGTCGATTTATTGATGTTTGCTAACTGCACCATGTAGATCTCAGAAAGTCTGACATGAAGACGGAACCTTAGCAGACACCAGTGAGGATGGCTTGAGAAGCTTGCCTGCAAGCTTGCAACGGCTGCATGTTTTTTTTCTTGGCTGGCTCCTGCTGTTGCTGCCGTGGCTGATCGTCGTTGTGGTTCAAGAGTTGTGGCGGGTTGCCGGCCTGCACAGTGTTCACGGCAGTGGGGCGTGACAGTGGCCAGGCACACACCGACTCTTGTGGCTAGCTCTATCAAAGATAAGACAAAGCCCCCTTTTCCCTGGACGTATGTGCTTGGACAGATCTCGCGTTCAACATGGCTCGGCTGCGATGGGGCGCGCTGATGGGCACTCTATTGGTCGCGGGGGCCCTCTGTGTTGTGGTGCTTGTGCATACCTCAGCGTTGCCCGGCTCTCTGGCATCTCCAGCGGTGAGTGGACAAAGGCTCTGCCCGTGCATGCATGTGCCTGCTGATCCGTTTGATCATCTTCCCCCATACTCACCCCCAACCTGTTGCGCAGGCCAAGCTGAGCCGGGCGATTGAAGACCCTATGCGGCCGGTGGACCTCCCCAACTCGGAGCTGGCAGCTCTTCGCGCCGATGTTCAGCAGCTGCAAGTGTTGCATAGTGAACTGTTGCATGCTGTGCAGCAGCGTGCGGCCACGACCCCCGTCCGAGCGAATCCACCTACGTTGAGCGGCATTGATGGTGCAGCCGTGCGTGAGATCAAGACTCTAACCCAAGATCTCAAGGAGCTCATGAGCCACTTACAGGCGGTGCAGCAACAGCAGGATCGTGCCGCAGCCCTGGCGGCAGCCAAGCCACCGGCCCCAGCCCCAGCTCCGGCCCCGGCTCCAGCCCCGGCTCCGATGAAGCATAGGGATCAAGGCGATGTTGAGATGCCCATGCGACATTTCTCATACCCGCAGCTGCCCAAGTACCGAGAGATGAGCGACGAGAATAAGGCGCGTCTTAACCGTGCTGCGGATAAGCTGCAAGCTGATCTTCAACGCATTCAGCTGGCATCGGCACCGCAAAAATTGCTCAAATGTAGGATCGGGGCTTCATGTGGCTTTGGGTGTCGCATTCACCGCCTCTGCGTTTGCCTTTTTCGTGCCCTGGAACAAGAGCGGACCATGATCATTGACGGCGAGGAGACAACGCCCTACTCCACGGGCAGCCTCACCGACTGCCGGGGTTGGAATTGCTTTTTTGAAAAATACAAGCATGATAACGTGGACCTGTCCCTGGGTGTCGACACGCTCGATTTCGCCGTGGATTCGCATCTTCATGACCCCCTGTCCGAGCAGGCACCGTATTACAAAGAAGCCTTGCAGGCGTTTGATCAGCGCACGGACCCGGCCCGGCTCTGGCTTGTGGGTCAGCTCTTGGGTTGGCTTGTACGCCCGAATGCACGACTCAAGGCGTTTGTGCATGATCGCACATCCCAGCTTCAGCTTCAACTGCCTGTGGACTTTGGAGTCCACATTCGCATGACCGACAAGTTGGCCAGCGAAGCCAAGGTATGTCCGATTGGCACGCGCTCGCCACCTGCGTGCATCAAACGTGCTGTTCAATTTATGAGCCGCCCCAGCGCACCGTGCCAACCACCGTTCGCACTGCCCTCACCACGTGTGTGATGACGAGCAGTTGCATGTCTGGCGCGAGTACTTTCAGCACGTGGACCATCGGTTGATGCAAGACCTCGAGGTGTATTGGCACAGCTTTTACGACTTTAAAGCCAACACCACGGCCTTTGTGGCTACTGATGAACCCAGCATCTTTGAGGAAAAAGGACGCTCGTCCATTTCCAACTTTCGGCACAACCGCATTGTCTGGAATCCCGAAGGTAACTTTTTTTTTTTTCTTTTTTTTTATATGCCTGCTGAATGTAGCATGTCAATCGCGGCTCTGCCTGCCTACATTCACGGCATCAACTCAAATTGGCCTTGTCTCGCGCTTGTAAACCGTGATCTGCTGGTCGTGGTGCCAATATAGGCGCGACCTTGGCACAGTCACAAACCACCCGTTACTCCCAAGCGTCGCTGGACAACCTCATGTTTGAAATTTATGTCATGGCCACTTGCCGCTACTTTGTTGGCACCTTCTCGAGTCAAGGTGCGCTCATTTTTCAAGTCATGGAACCCTGATATGCTGAAGCCTGCTTAGCCCCCTCCGCTTGACGCCAACGCTCACCCGTCCACGTGTTGGGTGACAGTGTCGCGAATGGTGGCCGAGCTGCAAATGTATGATCGCCGCTATGATGTACTCTTTCGCGTGGACTCGCTTGACGAACCCTGGTTGGTTGCGTATCCAAACCGAACTGTCCGACCGCAGCAGCATCGGCTGGGCGTTTCTTTCGACTCACCACTGCCTCTTGTAGGTATGGCGTCTTGTGATTGCAGTGCAGCTTGCTGTTTGGTCGATCCCACCATCATAACAGTCGCGTATACCTGACCAATTAAACAATCATCCTCCACGATCTGCCATCCCTCTCTCGAATACATTTTTTGCACGAGTTTGGAAAGAAAAAAAAACACACAAGAATCTGTTTTGATGGAAATTGTGTGACTAACTGAAAGAAGGATCATCACACGCAACTTTCACACGAACGTTGGTATCAAAATCGCTTAGAAGGGGGGGACGGGGGTGTTCAATCGGATCACTTGAGAATTTTTATTTTGTTTCTGAATTCTCCTCGATTTGCCGTGAAGCGCGCATGCGCTGGTCCGGCCTTGGAGGCGCAACAGTGACGGCGTGAACGTGGCCGACCATTTTTTGTTTTGTCTGGGATCAAACGCGGCGTCATTGGCCAGCGAAAGCCGCAATCTCATCGACTGTGCCGTTGCTGTGGTGGACGCGAGGTGCCCCACATTGTGACGATGCGAACACCTCGCGTGGCGACCCTGGCCTATGCCGCCTTGGCGCTGGCCATAGTCCTTCTGCTCGGCTACTCGTGGCACGAGCTGCTTCAAACCCGCGCCGAACTCGTAAGTTGCGCTTGCCACCTGCCTGTTCGATCATCTCTTAGGTGCCATGGCGGAGAAACCCCCATCGGCCAGAGCGTTGACAATTTTGCCCTTCAAGGCTCCGCGGTGCCTCATTCCTCAGGGTTGTCTCACACTTTTTACTCTCAGGAATCGTTGCGAAGCAACAAGGAGACCCGGGCCTCAAGCACGTCCCGACCAGCGATCACGTCCCACAATGCCGCCCTGCATGAGTCTCTGGCAGATTTGCTGCAGCGTGCCGACAAGACGCTGGGCATGCTGCAACAATTGCAAAACCATGCTCGGGGGCACTCTTCAGAGCTGGTGACGATGAAAGAAAATGTCGAGGCCATGCATAATTCGTTGCGCGAGCTTGGATCTCGTGCGGTAGATGCACCAGCACCGGCGCCACAAGCGGAATCTCTTGAGGCGGCCAAACACTCGCGAAATGTTGGCCAGGCTGATGACATGCCCGGTGCCCACCATGTCGTGTCACCAGAATCGTCAGTGACCTGTCCTTCCTTGGACAAGGGAGGCCGCAAAGAGCTGCCCTACGGACACCTACCGCCCTACAACAAGTTTAATGAAACCGAGCTTCAACTGCTCAAGGCAGCCCGCGACCAGCTCATGAAGGATCTGAACACTTACCAGCTGAATCCTTCACCCGAGCGTGCATTGCACTGTGTCATTCGCTCGCGCTGTGGCTTTGGCTGTCGCTTGCACCGCATTGTTGTCTGCCTACATCGAGCTCTAATGAGCAAGAAGACCATGATACTTGAAGGCACGGAGGTCGAACCCTACAGTATTGGCGAACTCCGCGACTGTACCGGATGGGATTGCTTCTTTGCCCCGTACAAAGGCAAGTCCGTGACAATCAACAACGTAAAGTCGGTTGAGCAGTTTGCCGTCGACTCGCACCTCGGAGGTTCGCTTGGCAAGACATCAATATACTATGAAATGGCGCTCAAGGGCATGGGCGGTCGTGAGATGCCTGCCAAGCTTTGGGTAGTTGGCCAGCTTGTGGGCTGGCTGATCAGGCCCAGCGAGCGCATGAAGCGCGTTTTGAATGGCAAGCTCTCCGAGCTCAAGCTGACACTTCCAGTGGACTTTGGTGTACACATCCGCATGACTGACAAGCTTGCCAGCGAAGCCAAGGTCAGACCTGCTGCCGGATATACCGCCGTTTGTGTTTTTGCATGCAAGCCCTCGTCTCTAGCCTCTAGCCCTGCGGCCCTCACTTTGCTTCCCCCACCACTGGTGCACCATGTGCAGTTGCATGTGTGGCGCGAGTATTTCCAGCACGTAGACCACAAACTGTTTCCAGACCCCGAAGTGTACTGGCATAGCTTTTATGATTTTACCGCAAATACCACAGCCTTTGTTGCCACCGATGAACCAAAGATCTTTGAAGAACGCGGACGCTCAGCCATCTCCAGCTTCCGCCACAACCGCATCGTTTGGAACCCCGAAGGTGTGACCTGAAATCTGGGCTTGCTGTTGCTGGCTTTTGAAGTTTGTACAAATGTGTGCTGACTGGCACTGGCTTTTCACGGGCAACAGGGGCTGAGCTTGCCCAGCAGCAAGGCACACGCTACTCGCAGCGTTCGCTGGACAATCTCATGTGCGAGGTTTATATCTTGACATCAGCCAAGCATTTTGTTGGCACCTTCTCCAGCCAGAGTAGGTCGTTGGTGCAGTCCGGATGGGGCATTCGGTTGGAGGTGATCGCACCCTGTGGGGCTGCGCTTTTTATTTTTTATTTTTTGCTCATCGTGTGTCTCCCGCAACGGCTCGCGGCATTTAGTCTCGCGTTTGGTCATTGAGCTTGAGATGTTCCAAGAGCGCTATGATGCTTTCTTCCGTGTGGACTCTCTTGACGAGCCGTGGTACGAGGTCTCAGTTCTTCCTCACAAAAATTGCCATTTGAGGCGTGATGTGGTTGTTACTCTCCAGCCCAAGGGATGTGCATGTGTCCAGTGGCTCTTTCTCACGGTCGGAACTTTTCATAGGCACGGTGTGTTTTAAGATTGTGCAAGTGCAGAAGCGAAGCGCCAAGAGTTCTCAAGTGGTCCCATTTCCCCGTGGTTCTCAGCGTCTTCCAAGAAACGGGCGAGGGGAAGCATGCGCCAGCACGGGCACTCTCGTGTGAAACCGACCCATGGCGCAGCTCCAAGCGGGGGAGGATGCACTGATCAATCTATTCCCCAAGCACCTGATACCTTCCACAAATGTTTCAACGAGATAGGGCATTCCTTGGAGCTCGATAATGATGCTGTTTGCCATTAGCTAGTTGCAATTTTTTGGAGGCTTTCTTTTTTTTTTTTTTTTTTTGGCAGGCCAAGTCAGACTTGCATTCAAACAAGGAGGCGACGGTTTGGTGGTAACGCATTGCCACGACAAACGCAAAGGCCAAGGGGTGCACCCCGAAAAAGGAGGGCCGGGGCGGGGGGTAGGGTCGGGCTGTCGATGGGAGAGAAGAGTTGAGCCTCTTTCCGATCATCCAAAAGAAGACACACCAAAAAAAGAAGCCTTGTCTATACGTGCCGAAGGAAACAACATGCATGCTGGATTCCCAACACAAATCTGGTGGGATAAAAGCATAGCTTTTGTAGGAGTGACAGCACCGAGGAGGAGAAAGGGGAAAAACCAAACAAAAACGAAAACGTAGGCACGAAGATATCGTGCATTACCGAGCCTGATGGATCGGCAGGATTGTGGTGGGTAGTCGTCCAATCACACGCACGCGCGTGGTGGGCTCTTACAAACGGCCTTCCGCAGCAGCCACCAAGACCTTCTCCAGGTCAAAACCAGGGGCGTTGGGGTCAGTGATCACTGCGCTTCAAACAAGCATGCGGGTTGATCGTGAGCAAAGCCAATTATACCGGGCAAGCGCATTTGTCAAAGATCAAGGTGGAGGCAAGATGGGATGGTTGGGGCATCGTGGCCAGTGGCCCCCCTTCGCGGAGACAAAAAGACAATTGAACAATCGAGGCGTGAAGAGCAGCGAGAAGCAGGTACGCACGGCCATTCTTGGCAGCTTCTGCGCGGGCCTTCTCCTCCTTGGCGGCCTTGGCGGCAGCCTTCTTGGCCTCCTTCTCCTGATGTGCCGCCTCAGTGCGGGCCAGAGAGCCTATGCAATACCAGGTCGCTATTCAATGCGAAGAATACGGCACACGCGCGAGTGTCCTGCATTGAAAAGACTTACGGTGGCTCATGAGACCGTAGGTGACGCCAGCAAGCAGCGCAGCCCAGCGCGAGAACTGTGCAACAAGGTGCGACCGGTCAGAGTGGGCACGGGGGAAAATCGTGCATGCGCACGATCAATCAAGGTGCGACTCGCTTGGAGAAGCACCGCTGTGCCACGGGCTCGCAAAGAATTGGCTCGCCTCCCCAAAAGCCTCTAGCCCCAGCAAAGATGTACAAAAGTAGCTGGGCCAACCGCCGACGACATGCAGGGCAGACATACCTTGAGAACCGGGGAGAGCTCAGCCATGATGAAGGTTCCAAGGGGACAGCGAGAGGCGCCAACGGGGTCAGTGAACAAGCTCGGGGTATAAATTGACCTCGTGATGGCAACCCGTTACACAAAATCACACTTCCGTATCCACCTGAAATATTATCTGACAATCGAGAAGATGCACTTCCTCTCTCTCTCTACAACATGGCGACGGCTGCACAAGCATCGGCTGCACAGGCGGCGCCGGCGGAGCCGGGTCAGGCAGAGATCGATGAGAACCGCAAGCGAAAGCTAAGCATGTTTTTGCGCGAGCTGTGGCGGGCTGGGGCCATTCATGTGCGTTGTATGGTTGGCTGGCAAGGCGCGCATTTGCGGCTCCGGGATGTCTCACCTTTGCGTGACGTGCAGGGATTCAAACACATTGAGCTCTATTTGCGGGGCAAGGAGGAGCTGATCGTGACAGTGGCCAATGAAATATCCACAGCTACACCCGTGGCTTCCCTGGCCTCTTCTTTGCAGATGAAGAGACTGCCTCGCAACCAGCAGTCGTTGATGCTCTCCGCCGGCACGCAGCGCGTGTTGAGCGGTTACGGCTATATTGACGTTGGTCTCCCGCCAGCCAGCCCCAGCGCACTGGAGGAGCACGTGGACCCCAACACTACTGTCTTTTTGATTGCTGGATACAGCCGCTATTCGTGTCCTTACGTCTGGGTGCGTCCCGAGTGGCTGCACCCAACTTTTGAAGTTGCCGGGCCTTGATGGACCCATCTGCTTAAAAGGAGAAACTGACTGTGCGGTGACGACATGCTCATCGATGAATATCACATGGTGCTTGTGCAGGTACGAAACAACCACGAGCGGCTGGTGCACCTGGCAGACAAGGATGCAGCAAGCAAGGACAGTCCCCTGCGGCTCAAGACCACCTCCACGTGGCTGTCTGATGGTACGGCTCCGACATGAGCTCGCGGCTGTGCATGCAAGTCACCTGGGCGTTTTGTTGTTCTGACTGACACTCCATGTCGTGCAGATGTTAGTATTTGGGATATGATCGCTGAGCTGGTCGAGCTGTGCACTGTGCCCACACCGCTCAATCCCTTTTCCCTGGATTTTGAATATCTGGAAAGGTGTGCTTTTCACACCACACCCTTCAACACTCTGGCACCAGCAATTGTAATGGTCATTTTTGGGGTCATCCTGCAACGATTGTAGCCCTGACTAATGTCGAGCGCCACCCTTGTGTTAATGTGGCCCCATGCAGCTTGCGCGGTACAGAGGCCGTGCTCATCACAGGCGGTATCATGCATGGACTTCAGCACATTCTGAAGCGACCAGATAAAGGTTATGCGGAAGCCGGTACGTCTGCATTACTCTGCATGGGTGTCAAGGCTCAGCACTCGGAAAGTCTGGGTTCGATTATCTCCCATCCAAGTGGGCCTGCCCCGTGTGCTTTTGGGAGTCTCGTCTGGCTTGCCGAACGCACAGCTTGGCATGTCGCTTATTCCGGGTTGTGCCTGTGTATCTTCGCTGACCCTCGGGCACGCAGTGCACAACGAGTTTGAGCGAGTGGCAAAGCTGCACTTTACTCGACTGCGCCAGCTTCATCATCTGGGCGCCCTGGACGAAGGCCTGCCACAGCGGCGAGGCTCTGTGCTCTACTAATCTGCCGCGGATGTGGTGTTGCCCAGGCTCCCAGCTTGCTCCAAGGCTTGGTGCAGCACGTACTTGACGTCATACTGCATGTCATACCAGCAGTTGACGGCGATGCACTGGCCGGCCGTGTCGGCATCGCCATCCTGTTTGACCTGCACGTGTCGATCAGAATAGTTTGTGTGATGAGGTTGTAGGGTTGAGGTAGCACATGTGTATCGATCCCACCAAAGTGTTGTTGTGGCGGGAAGGCAACGAGGTCTTGCTTCCCTTCTGGGTGCGGATACGTGTCTGTAGGTGCCGGTTATGCAAGTGCTCGCACTGGAGAGGCAAAACGAGTGATGGGTTGCAAGAGCTGCGCTCTGAACCCTTGTGCATAACACCCAATTTAAAACCATCTCTGTCTGACGACACGGTCCAGACCCACCTGATGATACCACAGGCTGGGTAGGTAGAGAAGATCGCCGGCTTCCAGAGTAATGTCAATTCGCTCGAGGGCAGTCGTGGCAGGATAGCGAGTGCGGTGGTTGGGTTGCTCAGGATCAAAGACGATCCAAGGTCGAGGCGCCGCGTCCTGCTGCACCACCTCGAAGGCACCCGTCGCCTTGTCTTGGACGTACTGATAGGTGGGCAGCTCTCGCGTGGGCAGGACCACGACACTGGGGGGGCTGTACAGGGTGAAATGTTTCCGACCGCGCAGGACAGCGTACGTGTTCTCGTAGTGATCCTTGTGGAGGGAGGTGGTTGCGTCCGCACCGCCCATCCAAAAATTAATGGCGTCGGGTGGCACGCCAAAGGCTTCTGAGGCAAAGGGCAATTCTGCTCCTGCCACATCGGCAAGCAACTGCGCGCCAAATTCAGTCTCAGCCGTCAAGTTGCTGTCTTGGTGAGAGATGTAAAACACGCCGGGCTTTGTCGGACGCCGCAAGTGGGCAATATAGTCTCCAAAGGTCCACCGCTGGCTCTCTGGCAGCACAAAGCAAGGCTCTGCCCCTTCACGCTCGAGCACAGCATCGCCTGCATGCGCGCTTGTGAGCTTGGTGCCCAAGTGTCAGATTTGTGCTCGATGGGGCAAGGGAGTGAGCGCGCGCGCGCACCGTAGCCGGTCGGGGTTGCCTCGACTGAGACGTCAAGGTGTCCATAATGGGTTTGAAGGTAGTCCAGCGACCATTTCTCAAAGGCAGGCCAATGGCAAACGCCACCACGGATGATCAAGGGGCGATTGGGTGAGACAAAGTCCCGCCAAAATCTATGAGCGAAAAACCAACAAAGGTTCGCAGTTGGTCAGAGATTTACAAGCTTCTTGTCCCATGATGTAGTCATCGAGGGCAGATGGCTTGCCCCCAAGATCAGGGTGCCAAAGGCGCTCATCACATTGCCGAGGCAAGCAAAATCAAACGCAGGCTGACAGCGTGCACCATGGACTCGGGTACGAACTCGATGGCAGAGGGCGGATCTCGACGCTCCACTATCGGCTGAGCGTATGCCAGCTCGCGACACTCTTGTAAGAGGGACATCGTGTCCACAAGCACGTGTCCCCGGGCCATGGTCGATCGATACACCCTCGCTCACAGGCCCTCAGTTTGAGCGTGAAAACCCTCACCCGTCAGCCCCTCGCCTACCCTCCTCCCTCCTCCTTCCACTTTCACAGGACCAAGTAGGGCCTCTTGACCCGAGCACGTTGCCGACACACGCCTTCCGGTGGTTTTTTTTTCTTTTTTTTTTTTCTGTGTCTCCGTTTTATCTGACAACAGCCAGCTTGGAATTGTCAGCACATGACAACTGAAACGCGGCTGATGAGCGGGTTGCATCCTCAACACCTTGACGACCCGGATCTATAAAGTGTAGCAAACGACACACTACTTCTTAGAAAGAAAACGAGGCAGTGTTTTTTCGATGGATTTTTGCTTTTTCTTCTCTTCTTGCTGTCGATGTGGCGGGGCTGCGGTGGTTGGCGGTCAAGAGACGGGCTGGTGCAGCTCCCTCCTTTTTCCTTTTTTATTGTTCGCTTGCAGTTGATCAATCGGTGCCGAACAGGGTGGTTGATGAGATCATTGTCTCGCGACTTTTGTGTGTGCCCATGTTGGATCTGTGGTCCTACTGAAAAGGGAAGACAGGCAGCCGTGCGCAGCCTGAGCACCGGAGCTTCGATTGAACGCAACTTGTTGGCGTCCTTTTTCTCGTGGATGGTCAGTGTGCAAACCATGCTGTGCCTGTCAATCTGCTTGCCTTCTGAGCCCGCGCTGTGGTCTTTTTGTCGCTATGCTTGGCCACTCTGCTATTTATACGCTGCCTTCGCCTTGCTCAGACACTGTAAATTTTGGGACAGCTGGTGGGCTGAGCCAGATCTGGCTGTTGGTTGCATATTCATCCGGCAATACGTGTGCATGCCCTATTGGTGGTGTTCACACAGGACACCGAGGCCTGGTCTTGGGCGACCGCAATGTCTCTCGCACTGGTCCTCGCTCGCCGCCACGGTGGCCGCGCGTAAAAACCCAGCGAGCCGCTGTTGAACACTTGCCGCCCATACGTCGCCGCGCACGCTCTCTCATTCACTTGCAACCATGGCGGAGGAGTTTGATGAGCTAGATCGGCGCAGCTCCATCCGCCAGCTTTCGTGAGTGTTTGCTTCCTCCTGCCTGAACCAAATCAACAGTGTGCTCATGCCCCTTGTGCCTCTTCGCTTGCAGACATCGTGTTTCCTCGGCCCGCGCTCGACGATTGGCCAGGTGAGGCGCATTTTGACGGCTGCAGCCGACCTTTATGAGCCAAGCCGTTCTGGATCTTGCCAGGGAACATTGGCTGTGCTCACCTCTGTTCTTGCTCCAACAAGGGCAAGCGCGCGCGTGGTTGAGGATGAGCAAGAACGCCAGCAACTCCAGCGTACCAGGTACGAAACATTAGAGAAGAAGTGGGAACTCCTTTGATGCCTCAACTTTTTCCACCATGGTGAGGCAATCCTGTTTGCGTCATTTTGCTCACGCCATTGCACCTCTTTCATCACGGGACAAACGACAGGCTGGAGGAAGCCAAGGCACATCGCCGCCCAAGCGTGCGGGCAGCTATTCGGGTGTGTATCGCTCTTCATTCTCCTTGCCAACTCAAGTCCATTCGGTTATTGGCGCTCACTCTTGTCTCTTGCTCATTTCTAGCTTGAAGATGAATGGCGCGTAGCTACACTCGAAGATCTGCGGGCAAGTCGTTTTCGTTCGAGTGGCCAGTTCCATGCGAGTGGCCGCCCAACAAACTCACACCATTGGGCTTTATGCCTTTGGTCTTCCCGTAGGATCATTTCATGGCCCGTAGCACTCTGCGAGGTCTCGATGTTGACGGTTTTGTTGAAGCCCTGCGCCCGCAGATGCATGTTCGTTCCCAAGCCGCCCAATATCTGTATTCAGTCAATGGCACGCTAGTCGTAACAGATCGCTAAAACTATTCTTCATCATCTCCTGTGTAGCACGCTGATGCCGACACGTACCTGCGCAATCTTTACGAGAAAATGCGAGTGGGCACTCAGTTGGTTTCCTGGGTATGTTTTGCTGACGCTCAAGCCGCTGCAGTGCTTGCGCTGGCGTGGATATTCACCCAGCTTCTCTGGTGCAGGATAATTTTGCCACCTACATGATGCTGGAGTTTCAAAAGAAAAACGACGCGAGTGCTCGTGCCAAACATGCAAGTGAACCATGCTTGGAAATCTCTTCCCGGAGCCGCTTTCAGCTCACGCCCGCTGACTGGCTGCAAGTGTCTGGTGCTTTGACGCTCGAGGGAGGATGGTCTTATGAGTGTCTTGTGTGGCTCGTTTTTCTTTGCAGGTGCCAATACAGCTGCCAGCAAAGATTGCCACGCTGCCCCAGCGGAGCAATATTCGTGCCATGAGCTCCGGTCCCAAAGACCGGCTATATGTGCTCCAAGAGAACGGTCTGTTGATTCAAGCCCGTGGCAACGACCTTGGTCATTCGTCAAATGCTTGGACGCACATGTCGATGCTCACCTGCCTTTTTTTTTTTTTTTTTTTTTTTTTTTTTTTTGCTTTCATGTACTTTAGCCACGCTAACCATATGGAACAGCTCTGATAGTGCCGATACGTGGACTCAAAAGCATGTCCTTCCATCGGCTGGCTCCACGGGCAATACCTGGGTGACAGACATGGTCTTGTTGCCCACCCTGGGTCGGGTACGTGGGTCGATCCGGGCCCTCCATCAATCACTTTGAATCGAGGAACCTGCTCTCGTTCTGATGCCACAACTCATTGCATCGGTGGCTCGCCATAGATTGCCGTGTGTGCCGGTGAACGCGAGCTCTGGTTCTATGACATGCGAACCCTGGAGCCTCATTTTGCGGTAGGCTCGAGCGCAGTACCTTGCGGTTTCTTGTCACCTGCTTTTTCTTTTATGTCTGTCTGTCTCTCCCCCCCACTTTTCCCTTTCTTCACGAGGTGTTTGCGTTGTCACGTCTCGCAGTTGATCCATCTCGCCGACACTCCGATGAAAATGGTTTCCTTTACTGATCCTGAGAGCCAGGACGTGTGCGTATCTGCTGGTGACTGTTCACGAGCTTGCTTTTGATCACCAATCCGAAAAGAGCCTGCTCCCTGCTGGGTCCAAATATCTCATCATCATGACGCACCTCGCTTGCTTTGGGGCCCAATCCTCTTTTGGTTTTGTGCGGCGTGGATTATCAGGACTCTCGTAATTGGAGACCATGCCGGTTGCCTGAATGCAATTCAGCTGCCGCCGTTTTGCCTCACGTGCAAGGCCTTCAAGGAGAGCCAACGGTATGTACCACGAAACCCCTAACCCCTCGCCCTCTGAGAAGACGATCAAACCTTCTGACGCGCCCACTTGGATATGGCGGCGTTTGCCACGCTGGCAGGCAGGGAAAGCTTCAAAAGACTGTCCTGAAATTGTCCATCGACAAACTGCGCACGCCAAGCGAGTATTATGGAAACATAACCTACTCGCGGTGGCAGGTTCACAACGATTGGGTGTCAGGTCTCACTTACCTGCCATGGGTGCGCCTGCTGGCCTCGACCAGCAATGACGAGGCCACAGGCATGGTGATTGGCGAAGTGATCGAGCCAGTCCTGCTCCAGCCAAAGTCCCTGGCCATCGACCCGGACGGTGTGTTGCAAAGGGCCCAAGCCCAAGCCCATAGCTTCCTGTGGCTCTTTAACCACGGTGGGGGCCAACGACAGACTGCCTATCACTAACGCACTTGCTTGCTCCTTCCACATGCATGCATGCATGCAGGCCCTTCGGCACATTTGTTTCCAAATGGCAACGCACTGCGGCGCAATGCGGGTGAAACTGTGTTTCGAATCAACAAAGGCGTCAAAGCCCTGGCGTTTTCTTCACGCGTCAATGTGGTTGTCACCGCCGGTCTGGACCGCGTGATTCGTGTAAGTGTCGTTGGTATCTTGTTGGCGTCTCGTTTGCTAGAGGCGCACTTGCAAGAGCAGCTTGCGCATTCGGTATCGCGTGCCCGTGTACACCTTACAATGGTGCACTTCATCAGCTGTGGAATCCATACGTCAGTCTGCGCCCCAGCGGCTCCCTCGAAGGACATAATAGTATGTTTCTCGTGCGAGCGAATAGCATTCCAAAGCCAGGCGTCTTGCATCGTCATTAAACACATTCCTTGTGCCCCTGCCTCTGCATCATCACAGCACCAGTCTTGCAACTAGCGGTGCAAGAGGAGCGCGATCGTCTGTTCAGCTGCTCGGCTGATCGCGAAATTCGTGCTTGGCACCTGGTCGACATGACTTGCCTCATTGCACTCTCGCATCGGCGACACGCAGTGCCACTCGAGCCCTCCTGTACGTTGGCATAACATGAGTGCCCTCTAACCTTGCTTGTTTACTTCACCTCCTTCTCTCGCTTGATTGGCACATTCTCAAACGGCTGCCTTTTATCGTGCACACGGTCGTTGTAGGCATGTTTTGGCATGTTCCCTCCTCCTCGCTGATGGTTGGCGCGGAAACCCTGTGTCAGCTGGTTATCAAAGCTTCCAAAGACACTGGCGCACATGTGCAAAGTCACGATTGCGCTGTCGTCTGCAGCGTGTTTTCTCGTCGATTTGGCCAACTCGTCACTGGTGACCAGAATGGACAGATCAAGGTTAGCCATCATGGGGTCACACTCGATCATCTGTGTACTCGTGAAACGGGTGACATTCAAGTGGCTGTCGTCGGCACAGAACCGGACCCAGACTCAGACCCAATATAATCATGCACTCATTGAATACTCATGCGCTCTTGCTTGCTTGCTTGCGCGCAGAGCTGGGATGCACACTCTGGTGCCCAGATCTTTGAGTTTGACATCAACGAAGGCGGTGAGTGGAGCCCCCCTTTTTTTTTCAGACCCTTTTTTGTTTTCCTCTTTCCGGTTTTTTTTTTCTGGGATTCTAA